GGGTAGAGCAATTACCATTCCTATCCAAGTAATCCACCATGTCTCTTAACACAAGGGGTATTCCACAGACCATCTGCCCTTCCTCTCTCAGTGTTTCCAAAGCAACACCAAACACACACCTGGGTGCCTCTTCAGGCTCCGTAACCAGGGTGGGAATGAAGGGCTCTGGACTGATCTTGGCGCTGGGCCTCACAATTCTCACTGAAGACACGTCGCTCTGCATGACAAGAGGAGGCACAATGCAGCTGACTCAGTCAAAGTTTTTTATTATAGTCAATAACCACAGTTGGGGGTTTTCTCTCTGTATTTTCTTTTCTCTTTTGACCCTTTAAAACCTGAACCATGAAATAACTACCCGAATCTTTAATTTTTTGATAATGGTGTGTTTGTTGACCCTTTAGACAAAATATATAAAAATATATCAAATTTTAATCTGCATTTATATATATATAGATATATGAGTTTTAATTTGTATCACATTTTATCACATTTGCTACATAAGCCATATTTTTGCAATTTAGTCATTAAAAATGTGTCATGCAATTTATATCATTTTTTGAAGATTAAAAAAAAAAAACTCACAAAAACATATGTATCAAATCCGACACGCTGGGCTTTAAAGGGTTAAGAGTAGCCAGGTCCTGCGGACATCCTGAAAACTTCCCCATCTCTGCTTCATTACCTGTGAGTTGTTTGACTAGGTTGCGAAAACGCTAGCTGTTTAGCATTAAAACTGCACACTCTCTCGGGAGAAAATGCCATTTTTCCTCGATATAACGAGACCTCCAGGAATAAACGTTAACTTAGATATATCGGTTAACATTAACTAAATGTTTCCAGGTTATAAGAAGTTTTGTGTGGAGGTACATATATTGAACTTCGAGTGTTTCTCGGACTAACAACGAACATGTCGAGAATACCGAAAAGTGAAATAAGACCTCAGGCGAAACTTACACAGAGCGATAATGAAGCACTGGCTCCCATTTTCAGCTCAGCGAACCGGGGCAGTTCTCCTTTTTTGAAATGTAGACAGGTTTTTCCCTCCTCGACATGATGATCCGCTCTCTGAAAGTACGAAGACTAATTACTGCCATGGCCGTCACATCCCAGTGTGCGAGGTGTACAACGGATGGGGAATGCTGTTGTTAAAATTGAGTAGTTAGCGTACTTCTTCTCACCGTTACGTTAGCTCCCCCCTGGAAAATATTGTTTAGGTTGCTAGTCACGTGACACAAGTGTAACCATGGTGACGTGTGGTAAGGAGAAGTCGAGCCCTTCAGGACCAGGATGCTGTAGCTTACTTTACTATAGGTTAGATGCTCGGTGTCGGAATTGTATCCCAAATTGCCACCAGATCATTTTATTTGTAGAGGAGCTTAAGTGGAAAAATATATATCAAGATGTTTTATTATGTTATTATTTATTTTTACCTTAAGTGTTCCAGGCAAATGCAGAAAAACATGACCAAGGACATGTTTACTTTGTACTAGGGATTAAAGTTATTTCGACAAAAATGTAAAGACTCAATACCATTAATCTGAATTTTTTTATTGACACTTTTAAATTAAAAATTCTGTTTAAATGAACAGAAATAAAGACATAAACAAACAACATAAATAGTATAATAATGGAATAAAAAAATAATAATAATAGTGGCCAAATCTTACAGTCTCATCCATATAAACAGGACCTAACCCATGCTCTATGAGTACCCTCTACAAATATAAAAAGCAAATTAAGCAAACCCTAGTCCCAACTTACTGTTAAGAAACATCAAGGGTATTTGTAGTGATCTATTCACCAACATTCAAGTGACCAAAAAAAGCCTATTGCAATGTATTCATTACAATTATGATGACATCAAATTAAGCAAAAACATTTTTACAGCTCTATGGCTGATTTGTGCATATAAATGGCACACGCACAAAGGACAAACCTGCTGTATTACAAAAAAACAAGGTCAAATAATACAAACACACAACCTGTGTTCATGTACAAACATGCCTGTGTGAACACTGACAGACAGAATGTACACATAAACATAGACAGACAAAACATGAAAATGAAAAGGACCAGCCTGGTCAGGCGAATATGCCAGCAGAGTTCATAATAATCACACCAGAAAGAGAATCAACATGCTGCTATTGTTGGAAAAACAATGGGATCTCCTTCTTGTGCTTACATATTTTTGAATCAGAATGACTTCGTCTACTTCTGTCTGATTCAGAAAAAAAGAGGTACGTGTATAAATTAAGTGAATGCACTTTAAAAATCATGTAAAACAAAGGCTTTATCATTGTTCCAACAGGCATTATGTGTTGACAGGTATTGACTATTACGGATGCTTTGGTAAGATATAACAGTATTATAGTTAAGTAATCATGAAAAAAAAAAGTTATATATGTTTGTCATCACGCTAAAATAACACAGAACAAATTTACAAAGATTTGTTTTACCAGCGTTATGAATGGCACCTTGTCTTTATTTTTCAGACTAACAATAAAGTGAGTATCAGTGTTTCAAATTTGAACAATGTTGTTCAGTTTACCTCGTAAAATGAGGCAGTAATAAAAGTCGACACAGGCATCAGAATCAAATCTTCAAAAGAGATCTGCAGTGTGTGATTTAACCTGAGAAACTGGGCCAAGCACAGAGAAATGGCCTCTATTTAATAATTTTGGTGTATTAATATCTGGCACCAGAAATAAGTGGGTGACCCCTGTACAGTCAAAACAAAAATATTCTTCTAGGAGTTCAAAGAAAGTTGCTGAATAATATCTGAAATCTTGTGAAAGGTGTTCAGACTCAGGCTACTGAAGCAACTTTGTCACAGCTGCTGCTATAAAGGACCTCCGGTTTGTCATTCTCGGGGTGCTTCCCGTTACAGCAGGGAAGGGTGAGCAGAGTGAGAAGGAATGCTCCCAGCAACACAAAGCTCCCACTAAAGTAGAACGCCAGGTCATATGACTGTGTCCAGTCAAAGAACCACCCTAGAAAGTGATGAGAAAAACAGAAACTGTGAGCAGAGAGGGATTCCTTGCAGACACAGCAGTGAGTCATTTCCTGAAGTTAACAGGCCTTTTGCAATTCCCTGTAAGATTTTGATTTTTGAAACGTCTCTAAAAGCTACACCAGGTTTTTATATTAGCACAAAATAGAATAATTACAACTTACCTACAACAGGGGGCCCAAGTATGATCCCAAATCCTCCAAAGAACATGACGATGCCGTGGGCTTGTGTCAGCTTTTCCAAGCCAACAATTCTAGTGGTAATGTAGGAGGTGAGAGACCAGTTTCCATTGGCGAAACCCACAATGGCAGACAGGATCTGCAGTCCTACATAACTGTTAGTGAGAGGAATAATGAGCAGTGCCACACCTCCTGCAAACATGGTGAAGGCATAGAGATAGATGCTGTTGATCCACCTGATGTCCACCAGGATACCTAGCCCTAGTTTACCTACGCAAGCTGCAATGGCCCCTATTGATACCAAAGGAATTAGACTAACTTCTTCAATGAGTCCTTGACTCTGTGCCACATCCTCAATGAAGAGCGCAGGTGGGAATGCACCTAAACTAAACATGAAGACACCGATACAGAAAGCCACCATCACTTGGTCCTGCAGGATCTCAGACATGGAGTGGATGTACTTAGAGTAAGCCTGCCGTTTCTCTTTGATGACCTTTATGATATCAAACCCAGAAAAGAAGCTGCCTTTTTTCTTCATAGTCTGAATGGCCAAGTCCTTGGCATCAATGGTAATGAGCAATTCCTTCACACCCAGTGTTTTCTCTGGAGTAGCTGTAGTAGAACCTGCAGTCATCTTCAGGTCTCCCAATTGGGGCTTTTCAAAAATCTGCTCTTCTGTGTTGCGCTCGAGGGCGGCCTTCTGTTTGAGGTAGTACCCAGGCATATTGAGGGGCCTCATGAAGCCAGCACAAGCCATGAGGTTTAGTGCTAAAGCTCCAATGATAAGGAGGCAACCATGCAAGCCATACAACATGATGAGCTCATTCTGAGCAGTGGCGTAGATGAATGCTCCAACGCTTGTGCCTGGGTGAGAAAAGGAGAAATGGAATGAGTAATACAATAACACATCAATCGATACAACTTAAAGCCATTGCGCCTTATCATCCACTAACTTTAAAGTGTAACTGACAACCAGAACGACGGCTCTGTGTTGAGATGGCTCTGTAGTTCTAAATCATTGCTAGACTCACTTTAAAAATAAGACTTGGATGTTACTAATAATCTTTAAAATGTAACTATGTCAAGTAGTTTCACAACATTTTGTTCAACTATTTACCAGTTTCGACTGCCAAACCACATCTGGTTGCTGGTCATCAGTCCTCTTCCCTACCCCACAGACCACTCTGACTTTGCTACTCTACTGATGTTTACCTCAGCTTCCTAAGGTTCCCAGCAGCGCAATCATGAAAGAAGTGAGCTTGGAGACCTGGTTTGCACCCATAGCCCTCAGGTCAGAGGAAGGCAGCAGTACCTGTGGTGACAATGCCAAGGGCGAGGCCGCGTCTCTTGTCAAAATACTGACAGGTGATTGTCAAGGTGGCTGCATAGACCAGACCACAACCCAGGCCTATGGTAAGAGAAAGAAGAAAACGCAAATGTCACGTAAAACATGAAAAATAAACAAGAATGGGGATGCAATGGCACATGAATACGACTGCTTAATGAGTAGAGAACAACTACATTTTAATCACAATTTTTAAAGTATGTTTTGTAGATTTTAGTTAAACAATATTGCTGTAAACTTGAACTCACTGCTTTATACAAGCAGCATGAAGCCTTAAGTTCAGAGGACACTGTGCATCAGATATCCTCAGCAAAACAAAGGATACAGTGAGCAGTAAACTGCTTTTACAGCTACAGTCAGCATTCTAAGGACCACTCTAAAAATAAATGACTGCTTTCAAAGATGCATGGCCTCTGACCTCTAGCGCTGACTCGCTAAAGGAACTATTTAATCCTGCGATGGATACTCAGGATTAAGTATAGCGGGGCTGTCACTTGAGGTGCAATAACAGGTGGTGTTGGGCACAAGTGCATACTGATGAGGCCACAAAGGCAGTAAAAGGTCATACAGGAATGTGGCTAACCTATAATGTTGTTTTTCTGTCAACAAGCAATATCAAACAACTCTTATGTCACACTACTGTATGTCTTGTCCACTAATTCTCAGTGCCAGTGATAATCATTAATACCCAACTGATCATCAGCATTTAATGGTGCGAAACAGTTCAACAAGGCCATGTGCCCCTGTTTGCTCCAAATGATTATATAATGTGTTACAGGATTTTCATATGTTAGAAGAAAACAAGCTTAGTCTACATCAATGATCGAAGAAACATAAAAAACGTTTTGCGCACTGACAAGACTGAACTCCATAGCCGACTGTCTTAACGACGGTCAGGTGAATAAATCTCAGGTGTTCTTGAAGCACTGCCAAGTATAGCATAAAACACAAAAGAGGATGTCATTCAGTGTGATTATAAAGTGTTTCCTTACCGACCACAATCCCATAGGAAAACATAAGGAATTCAACATTTGGAGCAAAGGCACTGAGCATCAGGCCGCCAGCCACCATTACACCACTGAAGATGGTCACAGGGCGAGCGCCAAAGTTGTCCACGCAGGCGCTGCAGATAGGACCTGAAGGAGCAATGGCAGAAAGAGACACAGAGGCAGAAAAAAAGTGATGGTCAGAAATCTCATCTCACTCACAAAGCATGACACTGACACATCACATTAGGTTTAAACTGGCAACCTGCCTGAAGGATTCTCACATCTCTCACAAAGTTCATCACTTAGTTTAGTTCCAGTTTTATTTAATCCCAACCTTATTGCAATTTTACCTGGCTAATATTTAACATGTATTTTTAATCACCTTTTACAAATAGAGCAACAAACTGTATATACTATACTGAGAGCAATTCTGAAATTTAGTACACAGTGATTTTTTTTCACTCTGCCATACCCATTCAGACTGCTTTACTTATGTACAATTTGCTGATTGCTTCTCTAAGCAGGAGGAAGACTTGGCCATTGTACAGCAGAAACTGCAGTGCTGAAACAGGCTGACGGCTGGGACATGTGTCCAGAGATTGGCCACCCTTTGGGGTAGATCCAGGCATGATTTTTACCTCATTCCTTAGAAAAAGACAGCAAGAAGCAAGGCTGGAAGATAAGCTTTGGTTTATACAACAATGTCAACCAAGGCCTATATCACTAATTCTTTTGCTTAACTGCTGTGGAGCATACTTTGTACTCTATATATGATATCTTTCAGAAATGACTGAAAGGCTAAGGAGGATGAATATATTTTGTATTCATATTTTACATTCATACTCCAGTGGCCATGGTCGTTTACTTTCAGGCACCTTTGCTTCTCTCTTTTTATATGTGGGTTCAATAAAGCTTATATATATATATATATATAGTATCTGTATTTTCGCCTCAACTTATCTTTGTTTTCCTTTGTCTTTGGTCAGATTAAGAAGCAAGTGATCCCATTCCATTACATCACATCAAATCTGCTCCAAGTAAAAGTAAAATGTTACTTTTTTAGTTTCCTGTTTTATTGTGAAAGTCTGTGTCTTATGCCAGTGTATTCAGTTTGCGTTTCCCCTCTCGTCTTGTCAATCACGATCAGCTGTGCCTCCCTCCTGTGTGTAGTTTCCTCGTTCCCTTCTGTGTATTTATAGTGTGTGTTCACTCATGTCCGTTGCTAGTCCGTCTGTGTTTCTTCCCTGCTTTTCTCCAGAGTCGTCGGTTCAGGTTCGTTTTGTTAGCCAGTCCCAGTTTAGGTCACCTTTAGGTTTTATTTTGTTCGCCGTGTTTCTGTTTGTGCCTCCACTGTATGTTAATAAAGCTTGCCACATCTAAGCCAATGCCAGCGTCTGGGTCCTCCCTCACACTCACCACACGTCTGCCCCCCGCAGCCGTGACAACTGGCTTAATCCTTCAAATAAATAAGTTTTTATATTTAAAAACTGGCACATCCAATATACCCCATTCTTACTTTAGTTCAATTGCCCCTTTACATATAAGTCAGCCTTCAGACTTTGAGCAGGTGTTATGTCTCATTTGTTATCAGGGACATCTTATGGTACATAACTGGGAAGGAAATTGTAGGAAGACAGGTATAAAGGTGAGGATTTAGTGCTTTACATTTACCACAAATCACATATGATATCTTAACCTCTCTAACTCAGAGAGGTTAAGATACTGTTAACAGCAAGTAAAAATATCCAAATGTTATGGTAACATCAATTTACTGCTTACCAATAAATCATCAGATAATGAAAATCAACCTCGGACTGAGAAATCTCTGCTAATGAGTTTACTTCTTCTACCCCAATATGAAGTATATTAAAGTATACTGAAGTATAGTATGCCATTACAATGTGTGTTACTCACTGGCTATTAGTCCCACTCCAGAAACAAGGGAGCCCACCCAGGCAGTCAAGCCCTTGCCTTGCTGGTATGTATGGAGCCACTCAGGGTAGAGTACACCCACAGACTGGGGTGATCCATAAGCAAGGAACTGGGCCATGAAGGAAGCCGCAACAATCGCCCATCCCCAGCCTCCATCGAGCACTTTTGAAGCCATGATGCTGATGTTATTGCTGCGCTCTGGGATCTGTTATGGCTTCTGGAGGTGGTGTTCCTGGTAAGAACATAGAAACAAACAATACAATTACATTTTTACAGCAAAATTGAAACAAAAAAAAAAAAGAGTGCTCATCCCTGGATGATATTTTTTAGACCTGACCTACAAAAACCACTTACTTCAAGCCTTAATCTGGGGAAGGCTGTTGCGGCACCTGGCCTGGCCAAACAGGGAGGCCACCTGTGTCAGGTCTAAAACACAGACTGACTGCAACTTACTCAGAGTCTACTGGCCCTTTTGAGCCTTTCTCTTTAACCACACCTCGAAGGAGGAGAAAGTTAAAAAAAAAAAAAAGAAAGAAAGAAAAAAGCATTTCACCTTCAACCTTCACTTCAACTCAGCTCAAATGGCTATAGAAGAGGTTTCTCTTCTGTTCTTACCCAAGATTTTAAGACCGCTGATCATAACTACCGCACTTTATTTTTGCGTCACTAAGGGGAAAGTTAGTGCGAAGCTTCAGATATGTCAGATCTGTATGTTTACAAAGCATGTATTTACATGTTTACAGTAAATACAATTCAGCCAAAGAAGGCATCTTTAATATAAATGTAAAGCAAATAGGAACCAAAAAAGCTGCTTACAGTTTATGGATATAGCCATACGCTAACACTGCCATTGACCAACACTTGTGAAAATAAAAAAAGTGACGACGTTTTTTAGCCATATATCTTTGATTCACTGCAAAAAGACACGCGTTTTTTAATGTTGTTAAAAAACAATACATGCGGCACTCACCTCAGCATATACAAATACAGCTGCAGGCGCCTGCCTAACTGCGCGCTCTGCGGGAACGTTCCATGTTAGGATGTTTTCCTTGTTAAAAAAAAAAAATAAAACACCTCGTATCGCTACAAAGCAAATAAAAATGAAGGCATCGCACACTCTTTCTGTTTTTTGAGCTGGACTATAGGGGTTCCTTCACCAGAAAACGCACTGCATCAACAGTGTTTCATTGTGCATCCTGCTTTGCAGCCGGCGACCAAACCGGTTCAAAGCTGTTCTTGCTGGTCCAGCGGCAGCTTGAACGCATCTACAACAGAAAAAGCGCTGCTTTCGCTTGCGCGCCTGGAGCGCAGAAGACAGACAGAACGGCTCTTAGCGATGCGGCGGATGTGGTTTGTGGTTCAGACGTGTATGTTTTTCTCCTGCTTCGTGTAAAACAAGCAAGTATTCAAAATGCACATGCACAAAGCTGTTTACCTGGAAGCTCTCCGGGTCATAGGGGACAAATGAAGGATCTGTTTTTGTAAAGCTGGTCTTTGAAGCAATGAGAAAGCGTAATAATGACGATAACTAACGGTAGCTATAAAATAACAATATAAACACGTAGAAAGAAATATACTGCTTTCATCTGAGTCTGACTGATCAAGCTGAAAGTTTGGGGTTCTTGTACTAACAAATCGGTCTGAGAGTATGGTTTCTTTCCCTCTGGTGTCATCATTAATATTTCCATCAGTCCAGTCCGAACCGGTTGCATCAGCAGGACGCGAGTGGAGTCATCTTCCCGGTGAGCGCAGGTTAAAGCAATGCATGTACAAAACTTGAGCCAAATCATAATCTGTCACCACATCGCTGGAAATAACTGGAGTCTGTTTAAAATCATAACGAATACGAGTAAAAACGAGCTGCATCATAGAGAGCTACCATGCAGGTAACATGGTATCCGAGGGTATCCAACACACTAAAGAGAATCTCTTTATTAGGTTTAAATGAAGCCGGAGAAAAACATGCATGTGTGAACCACAAACCACTCATATGCATGAGATTGTAGTGCTAGTGATTTTGTTTATGGTAATCAAGGGAACAACGAATATTAGCATCCCCCACTGATTTATAAAGCGAAGGCATACAATATCAGAGTTTGGGATTTACTTGAAAAAAAAAGTGTGTTTATAAAAAAATAAAAAATAAGAGCTTATATAGGCTTTATCCCCTAAATCTTGTTCTATCCCCAAAACAAAAGAAAACAACAACAACAACAACCAGACATTTTTTTAAACATAGGGTGTCTCAGGAAATTTTGACTTTTAATTTAATCCATACATTACATACATACATAGAAGGACAGCAGGGAGATTAATTGCTATAATCATTCTTTTGTAGCATCATAAAGTTATATCATCCATGTTGTTTGTCCCCATTCTTAACCTCAGGTCAGTAACATTGTGAAACCAAGTCACCAATGAATAGTGGGCGTGATGGTGGGAAGAAGAGTAGAATGGGAGAGGAGAGGAAGAAAGGAGAGGTAAAACAGGTTTGCACAATGAATGAACTCAAAATTCTTGAGGATCTTTGATGCTTTTCCCAGAGCTGAGGTCTGCTGCCAAAAGGGGTCTTACTGAAAAGATTTAGGCTCCATAATCCCCTTCTGCCTGAAAAACTAAGTGGAAAAAAGAAAAAGGGAGACAGAATTAATTGTACTTTACAGTCACATTACACTGACATGTTGCTCCAAACCAGTTTCAGCTAGATGTAGTGCATGTCACAGACAGAGCTAGGAATTTGAGGTTGTTTGGGGAGTGGATTACAGAGTGGCTATGACACACTTTGAGCACTACTGACTGAAACTAGAATTGATGTTGATGCATTCAAACATTCCCAGGTTCCATATATGGACTATTAATTCCACTGGGTTAAAATCCATCTAAGATCCACCGATCTTAAATTTTAAGCTTTATGTTTTGCAAACTTCAAATAGCAGTAAAGTAAGTTTGGTTTTCAATACTTGTTTGATGCAGCAGTAATAATGAGAGTGAAATTTGCATAAATCTTCACATGATTGTTATATGCTTGAAGCTTTGCAAACATGTTTAATCTTGCAACTTCATGTACAACATCAAAGATAACAGTTCAGCCAACCTGAGATCACAGAGCATATAAATTCATTTGTAAAAACTACTAGAGAAAATCACCTGCGTCTACGCCCAGGTGTTTAGTAATTCCTCAGTTTGGAGGTTGACCTGAATAATTACAGGCCTATTTTCCTCGTCTGTAATCCAAGGTATTTCACACTGCGGATCATTATGTTTGATAAGCTCCATGTGTGTTTTGACTTATAACTTGCTGTTAGACCTTAAATGCCTCGACTAGCATTGCAAAATCAATGCTAAGCCTAAAATAAACAGTTGTGCCTTTTGCGATCCCTAATTGTTGCTCCACACGGTAAAATAACATTTCTTCACCAACTAAATTTGAGACACATGCCATGTAAGGTTTGAAATTAGGATTAAACACAATTTCAGCTGCTTTTTAAAAAAAAAATCATTTTATACTTCAGCTGTCACTCCAGACATAAAAAATTATTAACACTGAGATCTGTGAATTAACCCCAAACACTGTGTGTGGGCTTGAGCAATCATTTTGTTCTTTACAATGTCTTGTAATGTATATCCCATATTCAAATATAAAGAAATGTATTTTGAAAATAGTCTCATTGAGACATTATGCTCACATTACTCACCCAAAGCTCATTTAGTATACTCGCACGTTCCCGTGAGATTTACGTGTGCTGACTTTAGTTTAATAGCTTGTCTTTTTATCTAACACTTTTATGACACCTGAGATTCAGTGGCCCGCTGTGCCTTTCCGTAAGAGGCTTGGCAGGTGTAAGCACACAGCGCCACCCCGCAGTCTGGATAAATCTTGGGTGGTTTGGCCATCCTAGCTCCATAAAGCTGCAGAGGTTAAAGGCCACTTTAACACCCAGCATTGCCACCCTGAGCTTCCAGTACGGATTCATGCTTGGATTAGTTCAGGTTGCTGGCTTTAGCAGTAAGTGAGAACACCGCACCACAGTAGAAAAACACAGGATCCACTTTAGTTGTGCCAGAACTCTCAGCAAGCCTTCAAATAAAGATATACTTATGTCACTCTTAGGATGAGATGTGTATTTTGATTATGGTGAGATTAAGCTGAGTGTATGTGCGAACAGGAACAGTTACATGCGGAGACCTAATGGAAGTCTAATGTGTTTTGCAGGCTGTCATCCTCGTCCTGTTCTCTTCCCACGCCAGGTTATTGCACCCACATTACAAAGGTTTACCGTGTTAAATGATCCTGGAATGACTGATTTATGGAAACCACTCCTCCAGTCTCCATCCAGTTGAAACCGGTTAGAACCATGTGTAGTAGGAAATGAAAATCAGACACTGGCGCAGTGGAGTGTCAGCAGATCTATACAAGAGGACATCACATGATGTGGTTGTTGCAACAGATTAACATCTTAGGATAAAAGATCTTTATTTCAATTTGTAGTTAGCAGCATGGCTGGCCACGCAAATTGCTGATCTACCAACCATTTTATTAATATCAGACTGAAATAGCAGTTAAAATTTGAACATATTTAACAGGTAGATTTAGAAGTTCATTTTTTATCAATTTGATATCATGTTCACAAGTTCAGTCCTCTAAAGATCACTATAAATAATCCCGATAAGCACAGAGTTTAAGAGCATCATATCAGAGGGAGTGTCGTTTTAGCAGAATAGCAAAGTTGTCAGAGGACCACAGCAGTCTTTAGGATTTATTATTCTGCCGTTAAACATAAATAGCCATGTTTATCCACGCATTTCTCTGGGGACATTTCAAGAGTCACCCTCATGGTGACACACTTTAGAGGAAGTTGGGGAATCACCAGTCATTATATCCTCTAGGAACTATAAGTGTACCGTAAATCCACTGTGGGAGACTGAGTAAGTGGCAGCTGACCTGCTGGTGTCTGTAGAGGGGGGAAAAAATGTCAGCCTTTGCAAACTTTTACAGCAATCCATCATATTCACTGAGCCATTTTTGGTAAGACATTAACCCTTAGCAGTCTTACCTGTGTTGAAGTGTACCTACCTGTGCTCATAAACGCATACTGCCCTATAATGTTAAATGGTGAATATAAAAAAAATATATAAAAATGTTTCTACTGTTCCAGGTTGTGAGCTTTGTTGGTGCAGTTTATTTAAGGCACAAACATTTTCCATCAACTACTTCAGAGATTTGTCAGACTCTCATAACTACCACAGTGAAACATTCCAGTGAAGTTAAATACACAAAAAGATGATGCATTTTTGAGCCTGTTGAAATGTTTTGTTAAATTAAGCAAGTGCATCAAATCGCAGGTGTGAAAGTGAAAAAGAAAAGAAAAAGAAAAAAAGATTGTCTTCCAGGTTTGCTTATCAGTTTTACACCCACAGTTATTACATTACAACTGAGTATCAAACGATATTCATAAAATTCACAATTAAAACAGAAGTTGTCATCTCAAGAGCTTTAATCATACATAGAAATTTAGTTCAACAGTACCATTCATTTAGAATGTTTTCGCAGTATGTATATTTAGTGTAAAGAGCATTGTTTTTTTTTCTGATGGGAATATCCATAAGGATGACAGAAGCTTTCAGAAATACACCAGAGAGAGAAGATCAGAGAAGAGACTGAGTACATGACTAAGTTGTAACACCTCAGATTATATTTTCAAACACCTCAAAAGGCGACATTTATCTGTGGTTTATGTGTCCATCCTCGTTGATGCTTTTTTTCCTTTTCATTTTAACATAGGAGCAGCAGATCTTTGAATGCTTACACAAAACTAAAATACCTGTGCTGCAAGCACCGTTTGATCAATGCCCTATTATAATGGAGAGACTCCTAGCACTCTTCTATGACACCGTTTTGTTGACCTAATCAAAGCCACGTTAAACTTGGGGTTGTGGTAAACTGTTTTACACTGCTTTAATGACAGAGGGTGATCTGGAGTGGAGGACATTACTGCAATCAAGTGTCATATTATAGGCATGAAAATAATTGACCACATCCATCTATTTAGCCATCCAACTCTCTAGCCATACATCCATCCATCGATCGATCGAAACATCCAACCTATCGTAAAACATAACCATGAAACATACTGTATGTGCTGTTTGTGCTATCTTAGAAGCGCCACAACAACAATTCCAACCAGCTAAAGTCCCAAGCAAAGAAAAAAAAACATGTACAAGACAAAAGGTGGAACAGATAATTATCCTACAAATCCCAGAAGTGATTATTTTTCAATTATCCATTCCTTTTAAGAGAAGTTAAGTAACGCCACATGAAGATTTGGCAGGCAGATAGCCTCACTGAAGGCGAGTAGCTATCTCGTTTCTTTTCCCTCCAAAACTTTTGAAGCTGCGTCTTTTGTTGAGTTGGTACAGAGTAAGAAACTTCACTTCCAGAGCTGGTAATGATGGAAGCTGCTGCATTAGCATCGTGGCATTCAGTGGGCGCGCTCACGCGCAAAGACAGAGACTGTGTGTGTGGCTTTAAGGCTGGGAGGGAGGCTGCTGCTGCTGCGCTGTTGATGCGTGCTGTGACATGGCTGCCGGGGAGGACATGGATTGGACCATGGGTTGAGCTGGCGGGGGTAGCGGAGGCTGAGCCTGTTGGGCCCCTGAGTGTGTGTTGGGGGAGGGTGGGGGTGTTGGACGTTTGAATTTGTCAGGGCTGGTGCTTCTTCTTGGGGAAGGCCGCTGTTTGACAAAAGGAGAAAGAAACAAATAAACACAGATTGCTTGTAAATCACAACCAGATGACAGAATTCTAAAAATGTCATGCAGAAAATAGAGTTTATGGCAAACAGACATTCGGAGAAATTTTGTTTTATCAATACATTTTTAAAAAGTTTATGCGTTTAATTGTTCCCAGACATAGCCAAGGAGGGTAATTGTGAAAATATCAACTCTTTTTGTGGGACTGTGCTCCCAGAGTTACAAACGACTGCAGGAAAAAGATCATGAACGCCAAGATTACATGTCTCAGTCATGTTTCCCCTACTGAGCTGTTCATCAAGACCTGATAACAGCAATTCTAGCCTGACAAATGGAATAAACGGAAAAAGGTTATCTTTTCGAGGTTCTGATTTCCCAGCCAGTCATTTCCCTAAAAATTCTTATATGGGCTAAATGGAGACAGTGGTTTGTAACATCCACATAGAAGAACAGAAAGTAAATTCATTTAGGTTATGAAACAGGGAGAATGCTAGGAGAGAGGTATAAATGAGATCCAACAATCAGGTGGAAAATTTAATAAAAAAAAAAAAAAAGACGCCCCCTACATACATTTTTAATCCAGGTAATAACTATAACACTGTACCAGCATGGCACAACCCTTCTCAGAGCAGTCTCACTCAGTCTTATGCCTCCCTCCCTGTTCCTCAGAAGGATTTATGTCTAAACCATCCCATTATGCCAAACTTTAATGCCCGTTGCAATAGTCAGACAGTCTAGGGAGACATCTCAGGCATGTTATTCTGAGGACCAGGGTTACGCAAGTAACCCAAAACTATCATTCCTAGCATTTCACTTCTCACTTTGAAATATGGAGGCTCCCATATTGCCAGAAGAGCTTATCTCCAACAATCAAGAGCACTTAAAAAGTTCAAGCGAAGACCAAGAACTGAGTATTACCTGAGCTGCTTTCCAGTTTTTATCCCATTTTGTAAACTGGAAGTTTATAAAACAGGACAAATGTGAAGGGCAGAGCATAAGCCTGCAAGTGCGTGGATTTTCTTGATTGAAACCTACTTCACACCTGAGTAACAGACCCCATGTGGAATTAGCTTGCAGGTCCACTGGAAAACACAGACCCTGACCTGGACAGGATAAACCAAATGCCATCATAATCCAGTGTGAGAGCTGTAGGTTTGTAATAACGTACCCTAGAAAATGAAAAGTTGATCACTTCTCCATAAACTCTTAGTTCTGCATAAATTTGTCAAGCATAAACAGGATGCAACATGTGCTGCTGCTGTTCTTCAGATGAAGAAAAAGCCAGTGGAGAAAATACCATCAATACAATGGGCAAGCATGAACTCTGACATGCCCTGGGGCAAACAGTGCATGAATGACTGAAGATGCCTTTTCTCTTTAAGTGATCCGCATCTACTCCATAATAGCCCAATCTTTGTAATGAGCATGCCTGGACAGCAGATCTGCCCAGATGTGATGTAGTGGTCTGTGTTACTAATTAAGGCCAGTCTGGAAGAAGCATATTTGCAAATAGCCTGGATATTCTTTCTGGGAGCAGGGCAGCCTGGGAATCAACTGGTCCCAGCTGTGAATTTCATCTGGCGCCAGCATGTGGTTCAGTGTCCACCACACCGAACTATGTCTCCACTGTCTGCCAGCAGTTTTCTGTAGTCAAATAAGCTCAGCGTACTGCATCCCAGTCTCTTGATGGTGAGACTGGCAGACTGCGTGTATTAAACGGGGGCTTCGACTGGGAATGTCCAGCCTAAGGTAGGAAGGGCAGACCTGTTGTGTGCCACTGCTCGAGACTACTCTCCCTCACATCTCCTCTTGTGTGAGGTAGAGTATTATGTATCATCATTAGCTTAAGTCCTAAAAATAAACCACACAAACATGCACAATGCTAACTCCATACTTAATACAACAACTGGTACATAGCGTGTGTGTGTGTACGGCAGACAATGTTTACAATCATCGAGGGGATTGTTGATGGCAATTTTGTATCATCATGGTGTTCTCTCGAGGTCAAATATCACTATTGAATCAACAGGGTGGCTGAACTTAATTCGAGTACTTTTTTGTAAACAGACATACAAACCTAACAGTAATCATTCACTTTGTGAGCAGTCTGTCACAATTTACACACCCCAGCTCATTTCCCACTTTAGTTGATAAGGATTATGACATCCGTTTGTTTATGTAACAGCTCTATATACACACATTACTACTATCAGAACAGCGCTGTGTGCACCACACATTATTACCCCAAACCGAATCCACATTTGTTCTTACTTTCACTTTTAAATTATGAAATGATTCTGCTTTAAATAAAACTTCCACAGTATAACTACTATAGCAGTATTATAGTTAATGGTATTTTCATCAAAACCAGCCTTGCCAAGGTAATGTCAGGGGAAACACTGGTGAGATATTTATATATTTTATGACTTTGTGATGCTCTTTTGGATAGGAGGCATAATAGAAACAGGTTCAAACCATGCCCCTGGTGTAAAATATTACTAAACATATCTATATCTTATTAATAAATATAAATAGATAAGTCAGTGTTGTTTTAGTTATCAGTGTGCTGAAGAGATGGAAGCACAGCTAATTGGAACTTAGGACATTTACGAGTTATGCTAAGTAAGTTCTAGTATTGATGCCAACAATACAAACAATGTTTGCAGAAGCCAGTATTCTTTGAGAGTCAAAATCTAGACTCCTCTACTGAGTGAATACTGGTGGACACACACAGTTTTATTCCTCCTACTTATACTCATTTTAAGGACTGTAATATCTGAAAGTCATGACATGGGAGTGTAAACAGGTTAGACCTTTAAATAACCACTGAAAAGTGACAGTTAACGTCATAGTCGTTGTTGCATTAAAGATCCACCATGCTGAAGAGTACTGTATTATCAATAGAGCTAACCTTGACATTAAAAAATATAGACAGGGCAGTAAATTTAACAAAACAACAGGCAGTACATGTCTCCACGTGGGTGTCCTCATTTAAGGTTCATTTAATGGACGCAGCTCACTGATTAAATATAGTTCAAAGATCATGCTGACTCAGAGCAAACTGCTGCTCTTATGAAGTCACAATTAACACAACTTTTAATCATTAAACTTGTTGATCATTTCTATGTACTTGAACTGGAAAACATCTTTATACCCCCCATAAAACTGAAATAATTTTATAATACGAAAGGTTATACACCTATTATTTTTATTGTCAATTGTTTATTCGTTTACAGAGCAACTAGTTTTGAGTTCATTGGTCAGAAATTTTGTTTGATGATTAATTGAGAAACCTGCCGGAAATCTGGTTAAAAAAATAAATAAATATATAAAATAAAACAAAAACGTGTGAATTCTCAATAATTTTCTAAAAGATGATGTGGGTGGTGTCACTTACTGCTACGGCATGAGAGGAGCCTCCGTGGACGTGCAGGGCGGGGGTGTTGTAGTGGGAAATGGCAGCTCTGGACAGTGTAGCTGGAGGAGTGAAGCCAACTGTGTGGCTGCCATATGAGAGACCTGTAAGAAAATGAGACAGCCAGAGGGAGAAAGACATTTTATTAAAAGTTAACATCAATTCTAGACACTTTCATTTTCCTCCTCAATACTCACTCCAAGATTACATCGATATAAGAGGGAAGTTCTTTGTGGCTGGCAGTGTCCTGGCACAGGATGACTGTTTTATCATTGACCAAATATTTACTTTGATATCATACATTATTGTATCATAAACTAGTACGCAGACCAGAAATGAATGTTAATTTTTTTCTGCACTATTTTTAGCATTAGGTCTGTGCCTAAAGAGAGTAAGGGTGACTGAAATATGATGGTGCTCTCCCTTTTATTATACTAACAATTATTATTTTATTCTTCTTCTATTTTTTCCTGTACTTTTTATACTTTTGCAAATGGTCATTTATCCAATAATAATCTTTACTAAATTACCTATAGTGCCAAGATCAGTAAGCTAGGAGCGTATCCACCGGTGTTAAATTTGAGAGCAGATTTTGACTTCATTTCAGTTTTCTGACATTTAGTTTAAGTCTCATTTTAGTCGACAAAACAGGATTGTAGTAGACAAAATCTAAATTTGATTAAGTTTAACAAAATAAAGTGTAGGATGAGAATGTTTGTGTTTTTAGCTGCTCCACATGTTCACTAAGAGTCTTATTTTCATTGACATCAAATGTGAAATGTGTCTATACGTCTTGCTCTTTTCTTTCTCCCAAACATTGACATTTTATCATATTTTCAAAACAAACAAAACCAAAAAAAAGCTGTACTCTTTCCCAGGGCAGGGCAAATGTGCTCGTATGACTTTCTAGACCATTTAGTTCTGCTTGGATCTAGTCTCTCCAGAATATTTTCATTTTCAAGGCTTCAATACATGTCATTATGATTTTAGTCTTTATTTATCATCTTTTTTTCATCAGGGGGAAAAAAACAAAAACGAAAGCTCTGCGGACTTCTAGATAGTATTCAGTGTAAACCCCACATCAT